GAGCTTTTAATCATTCCCTTACGGTCTGTTAATGGAAATACGATTTCCTCTTAAAACTGACGGATGCAAACGGATATTGCATGCCGTGGTAGGCYCTCTGGGCTATAGTCACGAAAATTTCTACATTTTTTGGTAATTGAATTTTCAGACGTCAATTTTATTGTTTTAGGGAGTGAAAGAGTAAAGGAGACCAAATCCGTTGGTGAAGCATTCACAGAATCACAAAATATTAATAAAAGTTTGTTGACATTAGGTAGGTCCATTAAGGCCTATTTACACGATGCGATTTGTCGTGTGCGACTTGATGGTACAAGACAGAATCGCAACATGTAAATATCCCTGCGAATAGACGCGTGCGCGGCCTACGACTTGCCTCAAGCTATTGAACCCTGGGCTCAAAATCCTACAGCTTGTCGTAGTGAAAACGTCGTCGCTAGCGAAAATTTACATCCCATAAATCAGCCTGTATCAAATCATCTTTGATAATGAGCTCAGCAAAAGTGAACGTTATAAAGAAGTGCAAACGTTTCTTTTGAGTTGCTTTGTAAACAGTAAGACGATTTGACGTGATTTTGTTGTTGTTGTTGTTGTTGTTGTTGTTGCTTTTTTTTTTTTTTGCTTGGTAATGAGACAGAATAGCGTACTTATTGTGTAATCTTGCCAAACTAGTTTCGGTTTTGATTTTTTTTCTTTTTTTTGCGCTTGGAGAATCATTTAGTAAAAAAGGATTAAGATGCTTTCTCAATTCGTTGAAAAGTTATATTAAAATCAATCTATAAGCAAGCTTATTTAAAAATACATATTTTCAAAAAGCTGGCTGCAGTCACTTAAAACTAACAGGAAACTTTGCTACACTTTCCATATGGTAATATCAATATTTGAACAAACATTTTTACTTCGATACTTTGAAGTCATGGAAGCCTGACGTAATTGTCATAAGTCGACCACTCTTTAGTCAAAAATTTGTTTACATCAGAAAAAACGCGTGAGAGGATCTACGTGCACTTCAAATGTTTGTTATGTCATGTAATTCAGTCTCTTAGTAGAGTGCATTCATTATATTCGAGAAATACTGTTCTAATGGAAAACATTTCTGCAATAGACGAAGAGTTTTGTGCTAATTAGTACTTTGTTTACCAAAGTGTGTTTCACGAATATAATAAATGTATTTTATGCGATATCTTCCTAGTATTCAAAATACTAGTTATTTTTCAGTAAATATCCGTTTTTGGAATTTAGGAAACTGTATATCAGCGTTGAGCGATGCCAAGAAAAGGACAGGACATATACCATACCGCGATAGTAAACTTACCAAACTACTGGCGGACAGTTTGGGTGGTGATGGAGTAACACTGATGGTGAGAGAAATCTATGTATACCATWAGTAATTTCATCACAGACCTCACTACATTATGCATGTCTCTAAGACCTTGTCTATACGAGTCCAGAGATTTTTGTTTCCGCAAACAGTAATCTCCGGAGACATTGTGGAGACACAAAGTGTACGCTATGGACACGTGTGGACACGAGCTGTGTCCGAATGATAACATTTGCAGATCTCTGGATTCATGCGGAYRGGGCCTCACTCTTTATKTATCTGAATTGTCCAGTAATAGAATAATAACATCAGATAGTCGCCTCTTATGTGAACAAACGGGATTCATCCATCCAACCATTCATTTAGTCGTTCATCCATTAATTTTTTTTTCAATTTTTTTTTTTCTAATTATCTCACCCAAAGATTCATCTTTTAATTCATTTAAACTTAAGTCATATTTCCTTTTAGATTGCCTGCATATCCCCYTCAAGCTACGTTGTGTCGGACACTCTAAATACACTACGATATGCTAACAGAGCCAAGAAGATTAAAAATAAACCTGTYGTTCAAATGGTAGGCTGCCTGAGAAAAATAGCGTCTTGTACAAGAAATAGAGACTCTTATAACTGAAAATTATTCTAAAGGCTAAAATATTTGATGTCCAGAGTATTTTGGTTATGGAGTTTTAGTGGAAACAAATGTGCGAATATTAAACCATCCATCATACCATCCATCATAAATCATTGAATGACACTGCTTAACAAGTGTTTCAGCTGTTTTTAGTGGTTTTGTCGGTTTTATTCATGTTGATATGTATCTTCACTTTATAACAGGACCCAAAGGAGAAACTGATCATTAGTTTAAAACGTGAGATCAAGTTGCTTAGAACAGAGAACAATTACTTTCGCCAGCAGGTAGGTGGAAGCTTTCGGCTCTTTTATTTGTTATTAAATATTTCCTTGATTTTATTTTTATTTTGTTTTGTTTTGTTTATTAATTGATTTATAAATCGATTTATTAATTTATCTATCTAACTATTCATCTATGAATGTATTTATTTATTTATTTATTTATTTATTATTTTTTGAGGGAGGGAGGAGAATGTTGAGGATGGAAACAATTGTTTCGCTTTTCTCGTTGCGACCAAGGAATAACATGAATAAACCATATTTTAAGCTGATATATATARTTCAATAGCCAATCAGAATGCTAGATCTTAATTAATATTTGTGATATACTTTGGTGGATAATGTTATGTCATGTGTATGGTGTGTATGATATTTAGGTATCTGTTGTTTTTTTAGCTTGGTTTGCCGAGTAGTGATTCACAGACAACAATAACAAACACAGAAGAAAACAACAACAAACCGAACCGTAAAACACTCAAAGAAAACGCGCACAAAATAAGTAAGTACAGTKTTGCAATATCTTMTTCAGTTTGAGCGCGAAATTTTGTTGGAATTAGGCAGTTTTTTACGTTTTATTTGATAAATATTCAGTCATTTCTGCATGCAATTTAAATAATATATTAATATTATAATACAGCTGCAAATGTATTATTTATAAATAATAAATTATGATTATAGAAGTCGTTGCGAGCGAGATGGTGATGTAGAACACCTCGCGCACTCGACGACTAGGCGCTGCTGTCGGAATTTTACTGTATTCCGTCTATGAGATGACCATTCGTTATTAGCATGTATATTTCCCGTCTCGTGACGGGCGATCATATCTTACGTTGACAGTGTTTTCGTTCCCTTAGATAAGCAAAACAGTTTAATGGTGATCGAAGATGAAAGAAACAAACTTACAACTGCAAAGTACGCCATTATTCCTTCTTAAATCAATTTAAAGGCCCATTTGTATCCGAAATCCTTTGCGCATTTTTTTTTTACATACAAAATATCGCCATCTTTGATTATTGTGAATCAGTCAGAAATCTGAGCTTTCAGCAACACAATTGCAAACTTTGTTGGATGAAAATGGACCTTTAAACACTGAACTTTTAAAATTTCCATCGTTAAGTTCAACCTAGAGACGAACCACTCGTTTTAAATTCAGGCTTATAAAAGTATTTATAAGTTGATTCGTCTTTCAGTTTAACTGCTGGGGCCAATAGTAGCTTGTACGATATGCTACAAGAATACATGATGGAAAATGAACATCTAAGGTACGTCTTGATATCTGTTGTACCAGCATGTGCTTCATCCTTATTCGGAGTAGCCTTCGGATACTCTTCGGATCTTCTCCGAAACTATTTGGCTACCCCTAAATCTCGAAAATTAAAGAGAAAGTTGATGCTTCAGAGTACTCAACTATTTCAATGATAAATCGCTTGCTTCACCTTTTCTGTGATATTTATTGTTTTTTTGTTACAGATCAGAGAATAGTGAACTTCAYAAATCACGTGAAGAAGTGTCAAGACAACAAGAGGTACGTTATATTCACATTACCTGATCCTTGTCACAGATCATGCTATTCTAAAAACGAGTAGTTTTGCTTTATTCAGTTAGCTTTTTAGTTTGAAGACTCAGGCAATAAGTAGGTTAGAAAGTAGTTCAAACTGAATGCAAGGACTGAGCTTCGTTGGTTGTTGAACGCTCCATTTATATCGCGAATTTAATGTCTTCACTCTATACTATTTCTATCCAATGTCTAGTAGTCATAGTTTTGTATGGTTCTGAACTGAAATGATATATATTGCTCTTGTTCAGATCGTTTCACGGGAAAATGAGCGATTGTTAAAGAAACTTGAAGATTTGGAGAGGTAAGTGGTGWATGTATGTTGTGCAGCTAATTTAGAAAGCTTTTGAAGTACGATGTTTTAAACATAAACCAATGCGCAATTATTCTCACCCTTAAATTGCCAAAATATTACATTATAATTGTTTTCACTTATTTTTTAGAGTTTTCGTATCGTCTCCGATCTCCTTTCGGACATTGTCGGGAGTCGAGCGTACACGGTCGTTACCCGAAGGTGCTGCAGGTTCGGAAGGGTTTCGATCAACCGTTCAATCATCCACACCGCATTCTTTGGACTATGCGTCAAGGAATGGTAAGCATGACTTCTTGAGAACGATTAAGTCAGATGACTTAAGCNTTTTGCAACGACACAGATCGTCATCGGAGCCTTCGACGCTTGCGTTTCCGCCAATCAAGAACGGACCGTACCCAAACTACACGAGTCATTCTTGGGGAGCTTCACCGAACTATAGTAAAGGTATAACTCCGTCGAACATTAAGTAATATAAATAAATGAAAGCTTTACTTACCAAGCAAGACTACTGTTAAAGAAATTCATATAAATGATGATGTCATGCGCACGCAACAACGAACTGTTATTTAGTTCGACACTTCCTTTAAAATAGTTTGATGACGTAATTCGAACGCTACGCGGAGCTGCGAGCTATTTACAGAATCCATTTAGTTCAAAGGAGTAGTTTTTGTTTATTTTATTGGTAGTTAATATATATTTTTTGTAATTTAGAAAATACTAGCAGTCATTCTACGCCTATACGTTCATTAATACCTAGTGGAAGTCCTAACCGCACCACGTTGAGCAAGTCCTCACCAGCCAAACTGTAAGTAATTACGAAGTGTCAAATTGTGTGCAGTAAAAACGTCTTTGCAARATGACATATCGCGAGAACAAAAACGCTTTAAATAGAACATCGAGCTAAGATCAAACTCAGCAGTTTTGTGAGCGCGTAATGCGTGAAACTTGAGTAGCTATACAAAGTCCTTGCATTAACGTATATCGCATAATTGTATAGACGA